TGGCTCGTGCCGTGCCAGGTGCAGGGTCTGCGGGCTGGGTGCTGGCAGGCTTGCACCTGGCACGGGCACCGTAGCCAGCCTGTGCCCCTTTAAGGGCTCTGGGGCCAGCAGGGGGGCATACGAGTTTCCCTGGTGGTGCCCAGAGTGGCCACCAGGGAAAGCTGGGGAGGGCTAGCCTCTCACTAGTTCAAATTAAGGGGCTACACAGCCCTTAATTCGAACTAGTAAGTTTGAACTAGGCTTAGTCCTCGTAAAATGAGGTTTACCTAGTTCGAACTAGGCGCTCCGCTAGTTCAAATTAAGTTCGAACTAGCGGAGCGCTAGTGTAGCACCTATGAAAGTTAATTCGAACTAACGTCCGTTAGTTCGAATTAACTTTGTAGTGTTGACATACCCTATGATAGTTGTGCCAAACTGATAGATTAGAGATGGTCATGAGAGAGCTATAAGGCTAATTAATCCATTACACCAGAAAGGAGAAAAATCATAGGAAGGAAATGCCATGGGGGAGAGATGGCAAGTGAACCAAAGAGGTAGATTTTCAGATTTAGTCCCAAGAGCAATCTAGGAGATATCTCCTTCCTCTCTTTCATCTAAGAAACTGTGTGTGTGTGTGTGTGTGTGTGTGTGTGTGTGTGTGTGTGTGTGTGTGTGAGAGAGAGAGAGAGAGAGAGAGAGAGAGAGGTGCCAAGAGAAGACTGTAAATAAAGCACAAGTGATGTTGACAAGCGGAAAGTAGCAGAGGAAGAGAGGGAGTGAAAGGCATGCCTTCTTACACAAGTCCACCGTGTTTGCCTCCTTCAACACCTTCCTTGCAACAAACTTCTATGGGTTTTGCTATAAACCTACTTTTCCCTTGCAGAAAATGATACACATACAAATCAAACAAAACCACAAGACATACAGTACAGATCACTGTTTACTTTGCACCCAGTCTCCATTCCTTCCTATTTACAGAATGTCCATTCTTTATTATTATTGTACCACCTGAATGACACATTTTCACTTTTTTTAAGTTTAAACTTGACCTGAATTTATTGAATGATTAGTAGCCAGGCATCTATTCTTTGGAGTCTTGTGGAATATTTTCTCAAATTTCATTTTTTAATAAAGAACTCATTTTGGATGTTCAAAAGAAAAAAAAAGGTCTGTTCAGAGAAAGGATTGTGCCCCTCACCCAAAAAGAGGATATAAAAGCTGCTTCTCCCGCCTT